ATATCACATTTTGATATCTGATCAGCAGCCTACAGAATGCTGCAAGAGGTTTGTTTTGTTCTGCTGAAGTTCAGTCCAACATGCAAAGTGACTCAGGAAGAATAGCTGGCAGTGGGACTGCAGTTTGTTCTGGCTTCTGCCATCTTTAGCAGGAGGCCAAGCAAAGGCCGAGTTGTTCTTTCTTTGTCTTCACCACCCATAGGAAAAGAATCTGTTTCCTCTCCTTGTTGAACTGAATTACTCCAAGGAATGTTGAACCTTAAACTTTATTTAATAGAGAGGAAAGCTTCCAGATTTGGATAATTTGCCTTGGAAGCATGAGGGCTTAAGCTGATACTTCAAATTCATGTGAGAAAGTGCAGCGTTTACAATATCTGCATCGCATGATGCAATGTGTTGATCAGTCTCTAATGTGAAAGGAGCATAACAGCAGCGCTATCAGAGGAAATAGCCATTATTTTATGCTTTAAAAGAGAAGATACTACCTTCTCAAATTCAGAGTCTAGGATGAGAGAGCTTTAGTTCTGCAGTGCTCGAACATATTTGGACCTTGCCTGACAAACCCTGTGGTCAGGCACAGTGACACACTGTTTTCAAGGTAAAATGTGCATGTACAATATTGCTGCTTGGGGTTTTAACAGTTCAAAAAACATTCTTGGAGGCTAACAAGATTTTCTGGAAGTGAGCCACTTTTGAATGCTATTGCCAGCACGTCTGCCTACTCTGGGTAGCATCAGAAACTCTGCTGAAAAATTAAACAAACATAGTTCTTGGCATCTAAACAGATGGGAAAGGACATGTTGACTCCCAAGTCTTTAGCTGAGGAGGTAGTCTGTTTCTCATTGTTACCACTGTGCAGTGAGGAATTGCAAAACACCTACATAGATTTTCAGACCTGCTAGCTGCACTTAACCTTTAATCTTGCAAGTACTCAGCCATAAGCATATAATTTAAAATGTTTGAGTAGTCCAACTGACTCCAATGGGAATACGTGCTGAATGAAGTTAAACATTTGCATAAACGTTTTCAGGATCAGGCTCTTTCACTACAAACAGAATCCTAGCACTCAGCACTGGGCTTGTGCTGAGTCAAGATTTCAAGACATTAGTAGAACTATATGCTCTACAGATGTATTTTAAATTTCATGTAAATGTGTGATTTCTGTGTTATGAAACAACCTACATTAGGCTGATAAGTAATCTTTCTAATGAGAGAGGAGAAATTATGTACTTTGTGACATAACTGCATAGGTTTGAAAGAATGTAATATGAACTGGGTCACCTACATTTTAGCTTCCATGTATCATAGAGGTTGCAACACCTTGATCAGTTATATTTTGCCTTTTAAAGTCTTTTAAACCTATTTTCTGTGTTTTAGAGCTGGTCTGAAAATCCTTCATCCTGTTTTTGCAAGGACAAGATTGCTAGCATGAGTAAGAGGTTGACTCACTTATTCCTGAAGGTGAGGACTGCTTTCCATTGCCCTGCAGAAGGATTTGTTCACCTTTGACTAGATCACATAACTTCAGAAAAGGATAAGCAACTTTTGTGTTGTCCAAATTAGTCTGGTCATGGTTGTGGCTGGTTATGTACCCTCTCTCATATGAGTTCAGTGATGTTCCCTCTGATTTACACCCTAGCTAACTCGATTGGAATTCTGTCCCTCAAATCTAGGTGTCTGCATTGCAGATCAAAAGCAAAGTTTTGATGGTTCCTTCTGCAAATTTCACTCCCATTTGTACTCTCACATGCTTGATCTCTTTTGTTTAAAGGGCTGTGCTTGATACAGAAGCATTTATATTCTGTGAACCATTCTAGCAATGCTGCTTTTAAAATATGCTAATATTTTCTTTTGAAATGCACTGGGAAAATAATTTAAAAATATCTTACATTTTTCTTGAATTCCTTCCTTTAATTGAAGTGCATTTTCTTCAGTTTTTCTTTGCTGACTAAACATGTTAGGACATTTGAGGTAAAGAGATATCTGTATGCAAATGCATTGTAATAGAACAGGCAGCTTTTCCTAGAGTTAAATCAATGTAATATTTTCCATTCTAAACCTCTGTGTATTCTGTGGTCTCTGAAATATAAATGATTCAGGATGAAATCTGCCGGATTGGGACTTTGTCCAAATGTGAATATTTTGGAAAGGCTTGAACAAAACTGGTTCAGCCAGTTCAGAATATCAGGAGAGTGGAAAAAAAAAATCTTGATCTAAATAGACTCTTACAACCTTTTTTGAGCATTTCTGTAATTTATCAGCAGAAGGCTGAAAAATGAACTCTGACATGGAAATAGCCTTCCTTGAAGTAGGCGTGTATTTGCTTGTTTGAGAAGAGATTAGTTTTGATTTGACTGACTTATAAACCTTTGAGAACTGTGGTTGAGCATGTGCAGTGGATTATTTCGATAAGCTTGTGAAGTGTGCAGCTATGGAAGAATTTTCTGCACATGCATGGCTGGCTAATTTTGCTGGAAAGGGAAAAAATCTATCTAAGCACATTGCTAAAATCATTGAAAATACCTGCAGCTGCAGGGAGACCTTTGAAGACCATCCAAGATATTTAAGACTATGAAAAGGGCGTTCCTCTAGGCTTTGTAAGGTGTTTAAGCGGCCTGCAGATTTTGTAAAGTTAAATAGGATTATAACTTCGCTTAGCACATGAAAGTGTATGATGTTTTCTGTGGGGACATATGTCATGCAAGGCACCCTTTCCCTCAGCAGATCTGCCCAGTGAAGGAATCCCCCAGCAGCAGGAAAGTTACTTCTCCATCTCACTGTAGAGCTCAAGAAGTAGGAGTTTATCAGGATGTTCCCAAGCTTGGGTAGCTGAGTCCTCTGATTTATATAGAAAACCTTGCTAATGGAAATTTAGCTTTGGAGTGAGGTGTGTTTATGTGTGTACGTGTGTGCATGTGTCTTTTTAGATGCAGGCACAGTCAGTGATTTTGGAGGAACTGCTCTCACTTGCATCAAACACACTCTGGATAAATCAAATACTCTCATCTAGAACATCTGTGTGTCTCCTGGCAGCCCATACTCTCCAGTGCATGTCACTTTAAATAGATACTAGCTATTTGATTCCAAAACTTGTATTTTGCCCAAATTGGGTGTGTGTGTCCAACTTCCTCCAAACTAAATTCATAATGCTCAGTTTATTGAAAGATTAATTTGCTCTGAAGAAATCAATCTCTTTGTTTTACACTCCCTGGATAATGGATACTTATTTGGGATTCCTTCCTTTGTCTTTTTACCCATGCTATCTCTCCAGCAGTGCTCTGGCAGGTGGGAAGGTATGCAGTTATTCCCTGAAATCTCTGCATGCCAGACAACTTCTGCCCAGGCAGTGCCAACACTGACACAATTCACCTTCTTGATAAGACTGTCAGTGGACTGTGCTAGTGAGCAGGTGAGTTTTTGATGCCATTTCTTCTAGCTGCTGGATCTTTTCCTGCTTATGTAACAGAATTTATGCCAGACCCCCTGGCCACATCCTGGCCCAGCTTGGTGAGCAGTCTGCTACAGAGGCTGTGTAGTCACTGGTGTGGCTGGACTGGCAGAGGCCTGACATTGGTGTGGAGACAAGGAGAAATGTGGAGTACAGTCAGAACACATCGGAGTACAACAGTCTATTGATAGAACACAGTGAGATGACAGAAAAAAAACCCCAAACATTTCAAAGCCAGGAATGTTCTTCTTTGAGTTGAAATTGTGCCTCTGAAATAGAGGTGCTTTTTAATTGTTAGAGAATGTGTCACTTGCTAGTTTTGTGTTCTCATTTCTTGATGTCTCACAGTGGGATGAGATAGCAGCAAATGCTAAACAACAGGAAACTCATTGGCGTGGAATAACAGCAGCATGAGCTGTGCACATGAGAGTCATTGAAGTAGTGGCACTGTAGTGGGGTGTTCAAGGGTGGAACTGGGTAAGTAGAAAGAAAGATAATTTTACCAGGCAATGACTCCATATCGACAGACCAGCCTCTAAGAGCAGAGCCTAACGTGGGTCACCCTCCTGGGAAGATCCAGGCAGAATCCCCCAGAGATCCCTTTAGGCCTGTGTTAGTGGCGCCCACACTTCCAGACTGGGCACTGATGTAGTGGTGACTTCAAAAGTGCAAGCAGAGCAGGTATGTGACCTCAGTGGGGTGGTGGGCTGTTAGGTGCTCGGTGTGTCCCATAGAGCCGTGGAAAAATCTCTTCAAAAATGTCATGCAGAGGGTAGTGGACATGTCCTGACAAGACTTTGCTTTCTGACCTTTGAGGCATAATGAAGACCTGCCTCGCTATCTACCTCAAATGACTTCAGGGACATCACCTTCATAGAGCACATTTTCCGTTCTGAAAAGAGTCAGAGACACAACTTGTGTTGTGGTCAGTCTGGAATTTGTGGGGGCTTGGGAGCCTCTATGTGATCATCCAATATGAGCAGGGGAGCAAGACAACTGCGAAGAGGTGAGACCCACACACTAGCGCTGGAGGTCCTTGGAGGATGCACTGAACGAGGGCGCAGCCACTACCAACCGCTGTAAGCCCGGAGCACCCCTCATGTCCGAGGTGCCGCTGCGGCACTGCCCACGGCCCAGCTGCGCCGGGACCCCGCGCACGGCTGCAGGAGCGCGGGCACGGACACTTCGGGCTACGGCAGGCGGAGAGTGCGGGGCACGGATCGGGGCTAGTCTGGAGTTTTTGCGGTACCGAGAGTCTCCGTGTAATCGGCCAGTGTGAGCAGGAAGGGAGTGGGACAACTCCGAGGAGGAGAGACCCGCACAGCCGCGTAGTCCAGCGGCGCCCCGCCGCCTCAGGGCGGGGAGCGGTCTCCCCCCCGCCCGCTCGCCCGCTGCCCGCGAGGCGCGGCTCCGCCCCCCGGCCCGGTTCAGGCAGCGGC